GAGAGAGAGAGAGAGAGAGAGAGAGAGAGAGAGAGAGAGAGAGAGAGAGAGAGAGAGATGAGCGCTCTTTCCCAGCGCCATCCGCTTTATTTGATTCGCGATGAGCGGACTAAAGCGCGTCGATCATAAAGCGCCAATACTGCCGGAGGCTGCTGCTTCATCCGATGGACCGTCGTGAAACGCGCCGGTACGCGATGCGTTCACCTCGTCGCTGTGCCGCGAATCACCCTGTAAAACGCCAGAAACGGCCGTACAGGTAATCCGCCGTCATTACGTCGTCCGGACATGCCCGCATTAAAATACGGCCCTCACCACTCGACACTAAAGCTTATCTGCAGTTACAAAGTCCTCGCGCGTAAACTAGCCGAGAGACACGAGCGTTGCGGCGTCGTAAAGCAACTGTCATTAACGAAATAATTAAACACATGCGCGCGCGACGTCGCGTGCATTCGCGCCGCTTATTACGCCGCTCGAGGTGGCCCGCACGAATTTCGAGACCCATACCACCCTGCCGTGACTCGGCCGTGGAAAAATTATGCAAATCGTCCTGACTTCCATGCGGATCTCCGCTCAAACAATGCCCAACTGACGTAGCGATTGTCCCGACTGTGGGTTTCTCACCCCCACGTCTCGCATTTATTCAAACGTCATCCGGGACGCCGATTTGTCCCGGATTCGGCCAAACTGTCCCAGTTTATCTCGGTTCAAAGGATCCCTAAAGTGCTCTTGACAAAGAAGAATCTTTTGAAGAAAATTCGCAGCTCTGGTAAATATAACAGCTTTGCTTTCTCCTCTTAGCTTTAAATAAGGGTAGCGACAGTTTTATCTTAGAGGTAGTTTTCGTTTTTATTGTGCGCAGTAGTTTATTCATTGTTGTTAAATTATTTTTCATACGTCTATAAATTTTATGTGTGTGTGTAACTTTTAGTCATCCTCTTTTACCTCGTTTCATACTTTTATGGAGTGTCACGTATTTGGGTCACGGACTATAATAGAGTGATATTCGCGCGCCGAAATATCGATGTGCTCCTTCGAAAAATGTCGTGCATGCTATCCGGGGCTCGATAATACACCAATGGTCAATGGTGTATCGCTCGCGCTTGTGCTTGTCAGGGAAAAACTACCGAGCTGTCCCACGATAGCGCGGATGTCGGGAGTAGAGACGCCGGAAAATGTTTTTCGATAAAGTCCACGTAAAAGTACATGGAATACTAATGCCGCGCTCAGGCTCTCGTGAACGCACGTGTATATATCGTAAATATATCGATCGAATCCGATCTCGAAGTAGGGCGTCGTGAGATAAACTTCGTCTTTCGCGCTATCAAATATTAGATAGACAATGGATAATGAGATTGGCGTTGCAAAACGTGCGCGAGGGACGCGCAGGATAGAAATATTATCGGGAAAATTAACGAATACGCGGCCCTGCACGCCGACCGGCGGCGTTATCGGTCGCATTAACGCTGCAGGATAACGCGTTATTTATTAATACGGCCGGGTCGCCGTGGAAGTAATCTGCCTTCATGGCGCGGAGACCTCGCCTTTCGCAGCGAGGCCAAAAACCAATAACGCCGGGGAAATTGACTATATCATCTGCACTCAGGACGACGGGAAAAATGATCGCGAGCTCCCCGCTGATATTGCCGCACGCCCGGGATACGCAATATCGTTTCTCCCACTCGCAGTTAAAATGTATCTTGATAAAACGCAGCCATGCGGAATGGAGTTCAAGAATACGCGGCCGAAAGTTCACGCGAGTCGTCTACGGGTCGCCCTTGTGGGATATCCTTGCTGACGCGACATACATCAATCGGCAACGATAACGATCGGGAATAACGATATCATTGTTTTCATGAATACATTTCGATTATGCGTACATGCTTAAGAGATTGAACATTATCATTGTTGCGATCGAATAATTTTAAATGACGGGAGAAGAAAATAGAGGGACAGAAAGAGGAGAGAGCGAAAGGGAGAAAAGGTGGTTACATTGCACCGTTACTGCTTACTCGGAAAATAATTCCTCTCTTCCATTTTCATTAAGCGTTTACGCCAAACCGGGGGAATATCGTGCATAATGAAAAGGAATGAAAGGATGCCTCGGCGCGGCGTAGCGTTTCTCAGCATAATCTCCGTGCATTGTACGAGCTTGTGTTTCCACAAGTGCATGAGATTACATTAAAAGAGTGCGTGGACGGAGAATCCCTGTTAATCGCGCACTTTTCGCGAAAATATGTTCGCGTTGCGGACTCCCCACGCAATAACCGGCTGCTCTTCCTTTTCCGGATTTACCTTTGTGCGTTCCCTTATATTCATTTCGGCGACAACGCCGAAATGATTCCAAATATAGGAGCGTGCACAGTATATACAAGTATATATCAAGTAGTATACAGTAGTATCAGGTATATACAATATACGCAAAATATAGAAAAGACTTCACTTGGATAGGCGATATCGCTCACTGCGAAATCGACTCGATCGTCCTCGATTTTGCGTCTTCTTCTTCCTCCCTCTCGCGCCTCCTTCGCATTTGCAAGCTTACGTAACTCGTGTATCGCATCCGCACAGGTTTCCAGCTCTTAAGTCTAATATCCGCACCATTCCACTCCGCGTACACCTGTATTGCTCCTCGCGTACAGTCGCACGAGATTCTCCACTTGACTGCGCCTGGCTACACGTCGCCGCGCGTTACTTCCAGCTCGCGTGTGTGCGCGCCCCCGACATCGCGACGCTTAGTCATCAGCGACATGCACGTCGAGACGCCTCCGACGAGGCCCTTCTAGGTAGAAGCAGCCCACGACAGAGAGAAAGAGAGAATGTCTACTTCTCTAGCTTATTCCGCATTCGCCGTCACCGACGCGGGAAATAGTCAGTTTTCGTCGACACCATGAATGTACATTCTTCTCTCCTCCCTTTCCCTCTCCCTTTAGCCATCTTTTCTCTCTCTCTCTTTCTCCATTATAGAGCTCGACAAATTGACACCTCTAGCGGCGACCCGAACCACCCGCGACTTAACGCGAAATATCGGACGTAGTCACGCGAACTGCATTCGGCCGCGTTGGTGCACAATGGCGAATTCCTTGGCGAAAGTTTCGCGGGCACGACGAAATGGGGCTCGATTGTTCGGCGCGCGTTTTCCAATTAGTCCGCCGTGCGCCGCTCCTCTTTGCACGCCGTCGCCTTTTAACTCCCCGACGCGAACAAGTCGGGAACTTGTTATGACAAACGTTTCGGTCCTTCGCTTTGAAATAAGAGAGAGTTTAGCGTTGCCGGCGCGATATAATGCGCGTAAAGGAGTAAGGCGCGTTTTACGCCGCCGCCGCTCGGAAAAAGGAGAAGTTTGTTGTAACGAGCAACCAAGCGCAAGAGCGCGAATTACGTCGGTGTAATTAATATTTGTCCGGGATTTTTGCGCCGGCTATATATGAGCAATACTTTCGCAAGTGTGTTTACTCGAGTCAAAATTTTGGCTATGCACTGACTCACTGTGCAAATACCGCCGAACTTGAAGAGTCCGTGAAGAATCTACAATAATGTACAAGCTATTGACCTACCTTGATGCTGCGGACGATTATTCTGCACGTTGAAGAAGCTCGAAGATGTTGAAAAAAGATGCTTGCGTTCAAAAATTCAAACGTTCCATTATTTCAATATGCACACGAAGAGAATTTTGTAGTAGAAACTATTATAAAATTACTCCTTATTATCCTTCCATTTCATATATACTTTCCATTTAATTCATATTTTAGGAACTGAAATATGCTATTAAAAATTTAATACGTATTACGCCTCTATTCGGAAAAAGAAGAAGTAATACTAAAAGGCACTACAAGAACTTACTTCAACACTTTCAACATTTGTAGCAGATTCTAAATTCCGATATCGCGGCGAATGAATTCGTATCAAGGAGTAAGAAAAGTGATTGTTTTAATCTCTCGATAGAAGAGATAAAAAAACGCGTAGGAAATAAGAAAACTCGATATGCCAACTAAATTTTATAATTTAGCAGAAGGCTAAACAGGATTGTCTTTGTTTCTCTTATTTCAGCTTGGACAGAGATCAGCCGTTCACGTTCCAGTTGGGTGTAGGTCAGGTCATCAAGGGTTGGGACCAAGGTCTTTTGGACATGTGCGTGGGCGAGAAGAGGAAACTGACGATACCACCTGAGCTTGGATATGGCGACAAGGGCGCCGCAAACGTGATCCCTGGCGGTATGATGACACTTCTCTCTCTCTCTCTCTCTCTCTCTCTCTCTCTCTCTCTCTCTCTCTCTCTTCTTCTTCTTCTTCTTCTCCTTCCACCCCTCCCGATTAATTATCGTTCATTTAACGTTTCACTCGTCGCGCGGTTATCACCTTATCCAAACGATTATCCCGGCATAAATCGGGAATCATTATCGAGCGGACGAATTACTCGCGAGACGCGTCGAGGAGCCGCAACGGCGCGATTGTTCCTTTTACCCGAAACTTTTTTTCAATTCGCCGCAAGTGTTCGCTAATTAATGGCCGGCATTGTAATTTCGCCCGCGATTGTCGGCGCTTCTCTAATTACCCTGCGGACTCTTTCGCCAATCAAGACACACGCCGATGGGTGTATATGCGGCAATCAAGCGGACCGCAACGGTGTACATCGCGATTAAAAGGCGCCACGCTGACATGGGCATTTTTCGAATTACGCGCGGGACCGTTTTTACGCGCTCGCTCGCCCATTCGCGCGCCCTCGCGTGAGGGAGAAACGAAAGGGATGGGGGTAGGGTGAGCCTATCCCTTGAACATCGCCGGCTGGGCAAGGGTTGGGGGAGGGTGGACTAGGCAGGCTGGCAGGCAGGTTGATACAAGGGTAGTCGTTAGTAACGGAATCGAAGTCAAAAATGCAATTGCACGGAAATCCAATAAAGCATCAACCATTAAATTGAGCAGCGTTGCGCGCACGGCTCTATGCCACGGCCGGCGGAATCAACAATGATGAACGGCTCGCCTATTTCGCAGGGGACTCGCGCGTAGATAAATCGGCCGTTACACGCCCGTTCCCCTCCGCCTACCGTCCACGTTCTCTCTCCCTCTCTTTCTCCCTCTCCGCCGTTTATTTTAATTACTTTTTAAATACGGAATCTACAAGTTTATTCGAAATCGATACGAGCCGTGGCTTGCTGGAGTCGCGACCGTTGCGCGGCTCGCGATTATCGCGCTTTCCGTTGGTCCGGTCGCTGCTTTTTTCTTTGCTAATTGCTAATTACGCGAGTACGCTTCGTTTGGCGTTGCAGAGGGGCGATTTAAAAGCGGCGCGGTGTAAATGCCGGTAACGCAATTATCTGAATGTAATTTCTTCCTTTTTTACACGACGACCTCGTTTCGGACTTGCTGCGCGTGCTTATTTGCTCGTTCAGATCAAACGCTAATTTTGCGCCGCGCGCTTCCTGCGCGCTCGATTTATCGCGAGATCGCCGGCCATATCGAGATGGCCGGGCTCGCGCCAAACACGGCGATAGGGAATACTCGGAGGGAAACGATCGCGCCGGCATTCGCGCCTAAATGCCATCATCTCTCTTCATTTCTCACGTCCAATTTCCACGGCGACGGTGGCGGCGGCCGTTACACGGCCGGTCGGCGCATTATTATTCGCCGTATTAATTTCACTCGTTTAAATAGTGAATAATTAAGCGCCATATTTCATTAGGGCCAGCTTAATCGCGACGGGACCATCCATAATTAATGGTTGGACGTGCCGGGCGCGCGTATGCATTCTCCCATGCCGAGCACTTCGTTAGTCCCCCCCCCCCCCCCCC